TCTCTGAGAACAACCTAAGAGAATACTATGTGTATTGTTCTGTCTGTAGTATCAAAGCTTCATATTCGAAAGAGGCACAGAGTATAGTTTAAATTGTGACTAATATGTATCAGAGTGCAGAGCTGGTACAGAGAAGTAGAAAGGAGGATACTAAAGTTACTATGAAAGTTTAGATGGAAGATACATAGATAAAGATACTACTCCTACAAATTTGCACAGGTCCAGGCAGATCTCCATAACATACATCTTTGACACACCAGTGATAAAGAAAATATATTTACTAGCATAACAAAGATTAATAACGCAAATTAATACCGTAACCTGATAACATCTATGCTATCATCCACCCCTTATAAACATGAATATCATTTGGATGAGATGACCCAATATATACAGCTTCATCTTCATTATTAAGGCGCATCATCTTTGTAGAAAGCAATACAACAAGTTCTTCTCCTTTAGTCCACATAGTAATATCGTTCCCAAGGTGTGTATCCAGAAGGCTTCACGTTTTAGTAAAGCTGTGTCCCTGTTGCCTCCTCTCGGGGAGATGAGTATATGGTCTATACCCTTAAATCTGAGACTTGCCAGATTATGGCCAGCTTCTAAAAAGTTTATTACAGAAAAAGCTAATAGTATTATGACGGGTGGAACTACAATTTATTTTAATAAATCGTAATTTCTCGCAGTTTTTTAAATTGTATTCATAATAAATTTTGTTTCATATATGAATAGTTCATGAGAAATTAATGCCCTGCTTCTCCTGAATGAAATTATATATATTAAGTGTGGGTGCACTTTAAATGAAAGAGGTTAATTATGGTTGAACAGACATATAGCACAAATTCCAGTTTTTGTTTACATTGTGTTTTGATCAGTACTATTGACTCTGTCCTGAAGGGGTTAATGTTACTGTGTTGTACTCCTCAAAAAGAAAACAACATTACTTAAAAACAAATTTCTTTATTATCCTTCCAAGTTCCCATAGGGTATGTGGACATGGTGCCTGTACTCTTCTGTAGCTGTACACTGATCAGCCACAGCATTAAAACCATTGACTGGTGAAGTGAATAACATTGATTATATCATTACAATGGCATATTTTACTAGGTGGGATATATTAGACAGCAAGTTGAACAGTCAGTTCATGATTTTCATGTGACGAAAGCTGTAAAAATTACAAGCAAAAAGATCTGAGTAATTTTGACCAGGGCCAAATAGTAATGATAAGACGACTAGGTCAGAGTATCTCCAAAGCCGGAAGTCTTGTGAGGTGATCCTGGAATGCAGTGGTTAGTACTTACTAAAAGTAGTGCAAGGTTCATTAATAGACCCAAAGTGTAAAGGCAAGCCCATCTCGTCCAATCACACAGAAAAGCTACTGTTGTTTAAATTGCTAAAAAGCTTAATGCTGGCCATGATGTGTCAGAACTTGAGTTGATCAAACCCAGACTGTAAAGTTCGGGTTTGTACTGAAAATTATGGTTTTTGGACCCTGGAACGAACACGGACAAATCACTGTATGTTCGGGTTGGAGTTCGGTGTTCGGCGATTTAATGGCGCGTTTTCAAAGGCTGCAGGGCACCCAATCAACAAGCGTTTGACTCGTGTGCCCTAAGAAGCCATCACAGCCATGCTTACTAATGGCATGGCTGTGATCGGCCAGTGCAGCATGTGACCCAGCCTCTATATATAAGCTGGAGTCGCGTAGCGCCGCACGCACATGAGCTCTTATTAGTGTAGGGAGAGGATGATGCTGCTTTCAGGGACAGCTTAGGAAAGAATTATGCAAGCCAATTTATTAGGCGGATGGGGTGCACTTCATATCTGAGAGTTAAATAGAAGCTTCAAATAACGCAGTTACATCAGAGTTTTAAAAAGTAAATTTTTTTGGGTGCTAAATAGTACAAATAGAAGCGTCAAATACTGCTGTCACATTGCAGTTTTAAAACTTACATTTTTGGGTGCTAAAAAGTACATTAGTGGGGTGCACTTCATATCTGAGAGTCAAATAGAAACATCAAATAGTGCACTTACAGCGCAGTTTTAAACATTCTAATTATTTTGGTGCTAAACTGGTAAATAGTACATTTTGAGGCGTGCACTTCATATCTGAGAGTCAAATAGAAGCGTCAAATAGTGCGCTTACAGCGCAGTTGTAAACATTCTCATTGTTTTGGTGCTAATCTGCTAAATAGTAAATTTTGGGGGCTGCTCTTCATATCTGAGAGTCAAAAAGAAGCGTCTAATAGTGTGCTTACAGCACAGTTGTAAAAATTCTAATTTTCTTGGTGTGGTTACAGTGCAGTTGTAAAAAATTGAATTGTTTTGGTGCTAAACTGCTAAATAGTAAATTTGGGGCGTGCTCTTCATATCTGAGAGTCAAATAGAAGTGTCAAATACTGCTTTCACATTGCAGTTTTAAAACGTAAAATTTTGTGGGTGCTAAAAAGTACATTAGTGGGATGCACTTCATATCTGAGAGTCAAATAGAAGCGTCAAATACTGCGATTACAGCAAAGTTGTAAAAATTCTAATTGTGTTGGTGTTAATCTGCTAAATAGAACATTTGGTGTTCACACTTCATAGCTGAGAGTCAAATAGAAGCATCATGGGTTTACTTCAGGGAGATCATGCCAAACTAATCTTATTGATTCTTTTGATTGGGTAACTAAAATTATAGATCAGGGTGGTGCAGTAGACATTGCTTACCTAGATTTCAGTAAGGCTTTTGACACTGTTGCACATAGAAGGCTTATCAGTAAACTGCAATCTTTAAGTTTGGATTCAAATATTGTTGAATGGGTAAGGCAGTGGCTGAGTGACAGGCAACAGAGGGTTGTAGTTAATGGAATATATTCGAAGCTTGGACTTGTCACCAGTGGGGTACCTCAGGGATCTGTACTTGGACCCATTCTCTTTAATATTTTTATTAGTGATATTGCAGAAGGTCTTGATGGTAAGGTATGTCTTTTTGCTGATGATACTAAGATATGTAACAGGGTTGATGTTCCAGGAGGGATAAGCCAAATGACAAATGATTTAGGTAAACTAGAAAAATGGTCAGAATTGTGGCAACTGACATTTAATGTGGATAAGTGCAAGATAATGCATCTTGGACGTAAAAACCCAAGGGCAGAGTACAGAATATTTGATAGAGTCCTAACCTCAACATATGAGGAAAGGGATTTAGGGGTGATTATTTCTGATGACTTAAAGGTAGGCAGACAATGTAATAGAGCAGCAGGAAATGCTAGCAGAATGCTTGGTTGTATAGGGAGAGGTATTAGCAGTAGAAAGAGGGAAGTGCTCATGCCATTGTACAGAACACTGGTGAGACCTCACTTGGAGTATTGTACACAGTACTGGAGACCGTATCTTCAGAAGGATATTGATACCTTAGAGAGGGTTCAGAGAAGGGCTACTAAACTGGTTCATGGATTGCGGGATAAAACTTACCAGGAAAGGTTAAAGGATCTTAACATGTATAGCTTGGAGGAAAGACGAGACAGGGGGGATATGATAGAAACATTTAAATATATAAAGGGAATCAACACAGTAAAGGAGGAGACTATATTTAAAAGAAGAAAAACTACCACAACAAGAGGACATAGTCTTAAATTAGAGGGACAAAGGTTTAAAAATAATATCATGAATTATTACTTTACTGAGAGGGTAGTGGATGCATGGAATAGCCTTCCAGCTGAAGTGGTAGAGGTTAACACAGTAAAGGAGTTTAAGCATGCGTGGGATTGTCATAAGGCTATTCTAACTATAAGATAAGACTAGGGAGTAATGAAAGTATTTAGAAAATTGGGCAGACTAGATGGGCCGAATGGTTCTTATCTGCCGTCACATTCTATGTTTCTATCAAATAGTGCGGTTACAACGCAATTGTAAAAATTCTAATTGTTTTGGTGCTAAATAGTAAATTGGGGCATGCTCTTCATATCTGAGAGTAAAAAAAAGAGGCATCAAATACTGCGCTTACAGCTAGTTTGAAACATTCTTATTTTCTGGGCGCTAATCTGCTAAGTAGTAAATTTGGGGCGTGCTCTTTATATCTGACTGTCAAATAGAACCGTCAAATACCAATATAACAATACTGTAATTCTGGGGCAATATCCTCACAAGTCAAACTGAGAGGTCAGTTTATAGGGAAAACTGTTGCCTGGATACAATTCTAAAACAATTTCCATATGTCCTTTGCAGACTTTACTTGCTGGAAAAACACAGGTGCCAACTGCTGTGGATTTCTGCAGTGTGCAGACCGTCAATGAGGGCAGGGTTGAGGAGTGGGTGGAAGATGCTGTGGAGGATGATGAGGTCCTAGACCCCACATGGAATCAAGGTCATGCGTGTGACGTGTGCAGTTTGGAGGAAGAGGGGCCTGTTGCACAGAGGCACTAGCACAGCATAAGAAGGAGCAGGGTGCAAAAGCGGAGCGGCCATCCCCTAGCGCTCGTCGGCATGTATTATCTTTAGAATTCCCACAGTTATGCAAGTAACAGATGGAGTGATAAAAGGAACCATAACAAATTTAATGAGCCAATTCACAGTTTCATAGTCTGGTGACCAGCACCAGCGTTTGTGCAGCCACATACCAGGACCCTGATGCAGCTTCAGTAAAAAGAGTTCTGGATACCAGAAGCCATCACCAGATTGATCTGCAACTTGAAACAGGGTGTGACATTCACTGTAGCGGCTGTGCACTCTTTCAGCCTTCTCACCCTGCTACTGCTCGCCTGTCTGCACTGCAGCGTAACTTTGGCCTTCCCACTCACCTCCTCATATGCGACATGCCCACTAGGTGGAACTCCACCTTGCACATGCTGGAGAGACTGTGCGAGCAACAGCAGACGATAGTGGAGTTTTAGCTGCAGCACGCACAGGTCAGTCGCTCTGCACCAGACTTGCCCTCCAATTGATCAGAGTTAAAGAATTTCAAGTGGACTCATTACAATTACAGAGCCTCTAAAGTGTCCTGTATTGTTATTTGTCGTCACTACCTTCCCGCGTCGGGAGTGGGTTATTTGCGTGCCTGCTGCCTTCCTTGCATGTGGTAGCCATTTCTCAGGCTTCCTCTCTGGAATCGAACCCTGATTCCCTGTTACCCGTGGTCATCATGGTAGGCGCAGTAAATTGCATCGAAAGTTGCTATGGATGACATACGAATGCGTTGTCTCCTTGCCGTTGGGGAGCCCATTAAAAAAGTGCTCTAGCATGACGAGCTTGGTGATCTCCTCCGGGAACTTGGCTTGATGAGAGTTGAGCCAGCTCTGGGTGGTCCTTGTGATGTGACATGTCCACTCCGCATGGGAGTCCTTCTCCCCTTTCCTCGTCTCCCTAAACGTTCGGCGGTATTGCTCAGGTGTGACCGCATACCGGGCCAGGAGAATTTGTGTAATAAAGGGATAGTCTCTGATTTGCTCTTCTGGTACAGCCCGGTAAATATCTGCTGCCTCCCCCACTAGTTTGCTGGCCAGGATGGTGACCCAGTCGCTGGGGTCCACGTCTTGGAATAGGCACTCGTGCTCAAAGTCTTGTAAAAAGTAATCGATGTCTTCGTCTGCTTCCTTAAACTCTTTGAAGGCATTGTATGGTGGCTTGTGTGCCAGGGTGGTTGTGCTTCCCAGCACCCCCTGCTCCCTTCTTTTTTCATCTGGGTTCATGGAGGTCGCCCTCTGTCTATTGGCAAGGACATAGGCTTGCACCTCCAAAAAGGTCCTGCTGACAATCTCCTCGGAGAGTGGCTCTCGGTAATATCCCAGGCACCGGTCGACCTCCTTGCGTACTTCCTCCTTATCTTCGACCCCTGGCTGGGGTTCGTTTCCTCACTGCGTAACTGGTCATCCTCCATGAGCGCAGCAGTCAATTTGGCATTGTGTCAGGATTACTGTTTGAGTCAGCACGTAGAACTGTATAGCACGGATGACAAATAAGTAACGTATTAACGGTCCTTAGAATGGCCGGATTTAACGTACATAGAATAGTCAAAAATACTAGCCGAGGTCAGGAACACAGAAAGGGACACAGCGATGAGGAAAGCCAGGAGTCAAGATACCAGAATATAGAGAAGTCAATAAACAAAGCCAAAGTCCAAAACCAGGTAGAAAACTGATAACAGGAACGCGTTCTCGGACAACCACAAGGGAAACCACGACAGGGCACTGAGCAGGATGAGAACTGGGCCTAAATACCCCTCCTTTAATTCTGATAGGCTGTAACTGGCCTTTGACCCCAAAGTCAGTTACCAGGTTTCATTTGCATAATTGCTGCTCAGCATTAACCCTTCTGTGGATTAGGTTGCTGCTCTGCACAACTTTTCCTGTGTGGACAGTAAATGTCATTAACCACATTTCTATAAGCGGATGAATACGTGACATTACCCCCCACCTGAAGAACACCCACCGGGCAGGCAGGACCAGGCTTGAGAGGAAATTTGGTGTGAATAGCGCAGATCTTACGGCCCGCATGCAGGTCAGGAGCTGAAACCCAAGAATGATCAGCAGGACTGTAAACTTTCCAAACAACCAAGTACTGTAAAGTGCCCTGAGAAAACCTAGAATCCATGATAGAAGATACCTCATACTCCTCCTGACCACCCACCACCACCGGAGGAGGAGGAACACAAGGAACAGTATATATATTGCAGAAAAGAGGTTTGAGTAAGGACACATGAGAATCCCTAACGATGCAGGAAGAGCCAGAGTGTAAGACACTGGATTGATCCTACGAAGCACTCTATAGGGACCTAGGAATCTGGGGGAAAATTTCATGCTAGGGACCTTAAGCTTGATGTTGCAAGATGACAACCAAACCCGGTTCCCCACTTGGTACACCGGGTTGGAACTCCTACGCTTATCAGCAAAATGTTTGAAGCGTTCAGCAGCAGCCCCTTGAGCAGTTTGAACCTTAACCCAGGTATCCCGAATGGAGGCCAGATGCTCATCCAGAGCAGGAATGGCAGTATCAGAAAATACCGCAGGGAGAACCGTAGGATGCCTACCATTATTGACAAAAAAATGGACTGTGCCAGAGGAGTCATGAACAGCATTGTTTCTAGCGAACTCGGCCCACGGGAGTAGTTGGGACCAATTGTCCTGTGTGCTATTAATAAAACAAACTTCTAATGACTGGTTAGCCCTCTCAGCTGTACCATTGGTCTGTGGATGGTAGGAGGAGGAGAAGGAGAGATCAATCCCCAATTGTTTACTAAACGCCCTCCAGAACCTGGACACAAACTGAGAGCCCCTATCAGACACAATATTGTGAGGGATGCCATGCAAACGGACAATTTCACGTATGAAAATTAGGACCAATTCTTGCGAAGATGGCAACTTCTTGAGAGGAATGAAGTGAGCCATTTTAGAAAATCGGTCTACAACCATGAGAATAGTAGTGAACCCAGTAGAGCTAGGAAGCTCAACAATAAAGTCCATTGATAAGTGGGACCATGGATTCTCAAGAACAGGAAGAGGCTGCAACAGGCCACAAGGAAGTGCATGAGTCACCTTAGAAACTGCACACACAGAACATGCCTGCACATACTGCTTTACATCTTTCCTGAGTGAATCCCACCAAAATGATCTAGTGATCGCGGCAGTGGACTTATTGATGCCCGGGTGTCCAGCAGTTATATTGTCATGGAACACTTTAATGATATTAACCCTTTCACATAGGGGAACAAACAGTTTATCACACGGTTTAACACTGGGCGCCTGAGGCTGGGCCTCCAGTATGGTGCCAAGCAGTGGAGAAGACAGTGAGAGGACAGTAGTAGCAATAATACACTCTGGTGGAATATTAGGAGATGTCACCTGTTCCAGAGCTGACTCATTATCAAATTGCCTAGACAAGGTATGAGCCTTGGTATTTTTAGAACCAGGTCTATAAGTAATGAGGAAGTTAAAACGTGAAAGGAACAGTGACCATGTAGCCTGTCTGGAAGACAAACGTTTGGAATCCCCTATATATGCCAGGTTTTTGTGGTCGGTTATGATCAACAGGGGGTCCTTGGAACCCTCCAAAAGATGTCGCCATTCCTTGAGGGCAAGAATAATGGCCAACAGTTCTCTATTGCCAATATCGTAGTTGCGCTCAGCAGGAGACATCTTTCTGGAGAAGTAGCCACAAGGATGCAATGGTGTTCCCTGGCTTTCTCTAGGAGAGAGAACAGCCCCTATCCCTGTCTCGGATGCATCAACCTCCAATATAAAAGGTTTACTGGTGTCAGGATGTTTTAGTATGTCGCAGAGGCAAATTCTTGTTTAAGAGTTTCAAAAGCATTCACAGCCACTTTGGACCATACCGTGCTATTAACCCCTTTGCGAGTCATATTAGTGATGGGGGCTATTACAGAAGAAAATCCCTTGATGAATCTTCTGTAATAGTTGGCAAAACCAATAAACCTTTGAATGGCTTTTAAACCAGAGGGTAATGGCTAGTGTAGTACAGCCTCTAGTTTTTTAGGATCCATTTGAAACCCCGATGCAGAGATGTTGTAACCCAAAAAGTGGACTTCAGGCTGGCCAAAAATATGCACTTTTCTAATTTACAATAAAGTTTATTTTTCAACAACGTCTGCAGAACCTGTTTCACATGGGAGTGGTGAGTTTGAAGATCAGGGGAATACACCAAAATATCGTCCAAATAAACCAAGACAAATTAGTAAATGAATTCCCTGAGTACATCATTTATAAAGTCTTGGAATACGGCCGGGGCGTTGCATAACCCAAATGGCATTACCAGATATTCATAGTGTCCACTACGGGTATTAAATGCCGTCTTCCACTCATGATTCTCTTTAATTCTAACCAAATTGTAAGCGCTCCTAAGGTCAAGCTTAGTAAATACTTTAGCTCCCTGAAGTCTATCGAACAATTCGGAAATGAGTGGGATAGGGTATGCATTTTTTACAGTGATTTTATTAAGTGCCCTGTAGTCTATGCAAGGGCGTAACTCACCACCCTTTTTCTCAACAAAAAAGAATCCTGCACCAGCTGGTGAGGATGGTTTTCTTATGTGCCCTTTGCTCAAGAATTCTTTGATGTATTCCTCCATTATTTTACTCTCCTGCTGAGATAAGGCATAAACTGCCCACTTAGGTGGCATAGCACCTGGAAACAGGTTAATGTCACAGTCATATGCTCTGTGGGGAGGCAATACATCAGATTGAGCCTTGTTAAACACCTCCTGAAGTTCTCGGTATTGTATGGGAACTCCAGGAGTTTGGGGAGTGGTAGTGGGAAGGTCAATAGTATCCAATCTCTTTAGTACTGGTTTTATACATCTCCCCATACACTCTTTACCCCATTCTAATATTTCCCCATTAGCCCAGTCAATATAGGGATTGTGCTTACTCAGCCACAGAAACCCTAATATGATAGGACATGATGGAGAAGTAATAACCTGAAACGTCATCTCCTCCCTATGGGAGGCCCCAATAGAGATCGTAATAGGGACAGTTTAGTGGGTTATAAGCGGTTGTGTGAGTGGTCTACCATCAATAGCCTCTACAGCTAGCGGCGTAGGTCTCTCCCTGACCGGTATCTCATCACCCCTAATAAACTGGACATCAATAAAATTTCCAGCAGCACCTGAGTCCATTAGGGCACTGCAATAAAACTTCTTGTTATCAAGGGAAATAGATACCTCAAGGAGGAATCTACTTTTGTTTTTGTTAGAGGACAACTCCATCACACCTAAGATCTGTCCCCTTAAGGTTCTTAGGTGCGGAAGTTTTCCGGACACACTGGGCAATTAGTTATCATATGTCCCTTTCTACCGCAATATAGGCATAACCCCTCCCTTCTCCTATACTGTTTTTCAGCCTCTAGTGACCCCCAACTGCATAGGTTCGGGTTCGGACTGTACAGGGAGGTTAGACAAAACAGGTTTAGAGAATTGCGGTGCTAGGGACATAGCCGTACGTCTGGTCTTGCTTCTGGTGACTTCCCTGAGTCTTAACTTATTATCAATATGCATGACAAACGTAATAAATTTGTTAAGACTCTTAGGTAATTCTTTAGCGGCTATCTCATCTAATATAGTCTCTGAGAGACCCTTTTTGAATGCTGAGATTAACCCATTGTTAGTCCAGTCTACCTCGGAAGCTAAGGTACGGAATTCAATAGCATAATCCGAGATAGACCGGTTACCTTGTCTGATGTGCATTAGGGCAGTGGAGGCGTCATCCTCTCTACCCAATGTCTCAAACGTGAGCTTGAATTTGGCAAGGAATTCCTGATAATTTTGAGCTATGCTCCGATTACTCTCCCACAACGTATTAGCCCAGGCAAGGGCCTTGCCCTTTGATTGATTCATTAGATAACCAATTTTTGCTCTGTCTGTGGGAAACCACCCTGGTGAGGCCTCAAAATGGTACTCCACCTGATTAAGAAAACCCCTGCATTCCTGGATATTGCCATCCAACTGTAGGGATGGCGATAAGGATATGCTAGGAGTCCTATTAACAGTGGGTGGAGGTACACAGGGTAGAGGTGCTATAGGAGGAGACGCTGCAGGCTGCAGTTGCGCCGTTCTAGCGAGAAGCATACTGAAAGCCTGAGCAAATTGATCCATGCGGTGATCATTCTCCTCTAATTTCCTCTCGCACAGTTCTACAGGATCTATGGCCATGTCGTAATGTCAGAGTTACTGTTTGATCCAGCACATAGAACTGTATAGCACGGATGACAAATAAGTAACGTATTACCGGTCCTTAGAATGGCTAGATTTAACGTACATAGAATAGTCAAAAATACTAGCCGAGGTCAGGGAACACAGAAAGGGATGCAGCGATGAGGAAAGCCAGGAGTCAGGATACCAGAATATAGAGAAGTCAATAAACAAAGCCAAAGTAAAAAACCAGGTAGAAAACTAATAACAGGAACGCGCTCTCGCACAACCACAAGTGAAACCACGACAGGGCACTGAGCAGGATGAGAACTGGGCCTAAATACCCCTCCTTTAGTTCTGATAGACTGTAACCGGCCTTTGACCCCAAAGTCAGTTACCAGGTTTCATTTGCATAATTGCTGCTCAGTATTAACCCTTCTGTGGATTAGGTTGCTGCTCGGCACAACTTTTCCTGTGTGGACAGTAAATGTCATTAACCACATTTCTATAAGCGGATGAATACGTGACACATTGCTATTCCTCTGGCGTTATTTCTCTGGCTCCACACAAGTCCTGCATCATAGGTCGCTTTAGAGCACTGTAGTCCATGGGTCTGTTGGCAGGGACATGGGATCCCACAACTTGCCACCAATTGAAGCGGGACCTGCCTAACCGATGGTTATCCCCTTTGATTAGAATAAGTCAGACCCATTTCCCCAGTAACCCGATGGTTCCAGGATACAACGTTTGACAATATTTATTTGGGTACACAGCTTTGCCTACTGTTGCCTCCTCCTCCTACTCCACTTCCTCCTCCTCCTCTACCACCTCCTCATCCAGTCAGTGAAACATCTTCACCACCAACTTCAGCACAGCCAGGGGAAACGACAGCAGGCTGTTTTAAAACTCATATGTTTGGGTTAAAAACCCCACACCATGCAGGAGCTGTGGACGGGCATGGAACAACAGACCGATGAGTGGTTGTTGCCCCTGAGCCTCAAGCCTGGCCTGGTGGTGTGCGATAATGGGAGATATCTCGTAGCAGCTCTGGGCCTAGCCGGTTTGACCAACATCCCTTGCCTGGAGCATGTGCTGAATTTAGTGGTGCATAAATTCCTGAAAAACTACCCAGATATATCAGAGCTGCTGCAAAATGTTTGGGCTGTCTGTGCGCGCTTTCGGCGTTCTGACCCTGCTGTTGCTCGCCTGTCTGCGCTGCAGCGTAACTTTGGCCTTCCCGCTCACCGCCTCATATGCAATGTGCCCACAAGGTGTAACTCCACCTTGCACAAGCTGGAGAGACTGTATGAGCAGCAGCAGGCGATAGTGGAGTTTCAGCTGCAGCACGCATGGGTCATTTGCTCTGCGGAACAGCACCACTTCACCACAAATGAGTGGGCCTCCGTGCGAGACCTGTGTGACATGTTGCGCTGTTTCGAGTACTCCACCAACTTGGCCAGTGCCACTGACGTCATTCTCAGCCTTACTATGCCACTTCTGTGTCTCCTTGAAAAAATGCTTTGGGCGATGATGGAAGAGGATGTGGTACAGGAGGAAGAAGAGATGGAAGAGGGGTCATTTCCACGGTTATCAGGCCAGTCATTCCCAAGTGGCTTAGAGGGTGGGTTCCTGCACCAGCATAGGGTAGGTACACAATTGTCCAGCATCTCCACACTGTCCCATGGAAGCCTTCAGCTGTCCATCTCCCAAACACTGGAGAGAAAGAGGAAGTACCCCCCTAACCACCTGCGATCCCTGGCCCTGAATGCCAGCATTTCAAAATTCCTGGCCTTTGAAATGCTGTCATTCCGTCTGGTGGAGATGGACAGTTTTAAAAACCTGATGGCGTTATTGGACTGCAAGAAATGCACCGCAGGCCGCAAATGTTTCCTTTTTGATATGTCCCAATATTTTGGGGGCTACCCCCAATTAAAAATAATAAATAAAAAACTGTTCTGGCTACCTCCTCTGCCTCCACCACCACCTCCACAGCCGCTTCCACCTACACCATCATGGCCACCGCTTCCTCAACCTCCTACTCCACATCCACATCCTCCTCCTAGAGCAGGGTGCAAAAGTGGAGCAGGCTTCCCCTAGACAGTACACCTGCTACTGCCCACCGCACCCAGAGTCCGAGCACACTAAAGCCAGCTCCAAGGAGTTCCCTGGCGTGGCAGTTCTTCAGACGATGTGCTGACAACAAGACAGAAGTGGTTTGCACGCTGTGCAATCAGAGCCTGAAGCGAGGCATAAACATTCTAAACCTGAGCACAACCTGCATGACCAGGCATCTACATGCAAAGCATGAGCTGCAGTGGAGTAAGCACCTCAAAACCCAAGAAAGATTTCAGGCTCCTCCTGCTTCCTCTTCTGTTGCTGTCTCGGCCTCTTCCTCCACCTCTGGAGTGACAGTGGCACCTGCCACCCCGCAAACAGAGGATGTGGCAGTAACGCTACCACATCCGCTACCGTCCCCAAGCATCTCCACACTGTCCCATGGAAGAATTCAGCTGTCCATCTCCCAAACACTGGAGAGAAAGAGGAAGTACCCCCCCTACCCACCCGCGATGCCTGGCCCTGAATGCCAGCATTTCAAAATTCCTGGCCTTTGAAATGCTGTCTGTGACAGATTCATCTGTAGAGACTGGGATTGCTTGTTCGTCTGTTTTGCCTCTTTTTGTGGAATTACCCGTTCGTATGCCCCTGTTTGTTTATTTGACTTTGCTACCGAACAAAACTACCGAACGGACGGCCACCCAGAAGAGAAGTGTGCTGCTGGTTAACCTCTTGATCCCAATTAGAACGTTGTGGTTAACCGCAGACACCTCTCAATAAAAAACGAATACAGGGTGGTCGTCATTCACATGTCGACCACGAGGCGGCGGCCATTTTAAAATAGGCGAAAGACCAGCAGTGTTCAGCACAGATTCTATGAAACTGAAAACGGACACTTTTTCCGCCGAACACCGCTAAAACCACCGACCTCCCTTCTCGATCGACAAAAGCATGAGAACACCGTCCGTTCGGGAGTTTGAACCGCACGAAAAGACTTAACCCAGATAGCCTTCCCATGGAGTCAATCGCATACCGAAAGAATGTAATAGACTTTGACTCCATGGGGATTGAACTGTGCGTATGGGATCTGAACGCTATTCGCCAATAATATGCACTCAGATCCAGGCTATCTGCGGATACGTTACATGAATGAGAAATGTTCGGCAATTGTAAAGTTATATATTTTTATTTGTTTTTTGGGTCGCATCTAAAATGGCGATTTGCCTCTGTCCTGGGAGATAATTGAATTACTTCTCAATTATCTCCAGGGCAGAGTGAAGGAAATCATGAAGCATGCTGGGAATATTATGTGTGTACTGAAATGCTGTACTTCCATCTGCCATTACAGTCTCCCATTTGGTCCCCTAGGGGAGTGTCCACCAAGTGGGAGACCTGCATAAATACGGGCGGGTAGCCCACAGTAAACCCAGTTCATGTTTTACCCTCAATGTGGAGCTTGGTCTCGTTATTGGAGGGGAATTTACTACACGAATAGCGACTGTCGGATGAAAGTATTAGCCGCTTGGGAGATATATGATTTCGGCTGTTAGCGGCGATTCGTGAGTTTGCTGATCGGGAAGTGAAGTACCCGTACGGGTCCCGTTCGGGAGATTGGAGCATTCCCCTGCTTGCAATTCGTATAATTGAAATTGATACGAATTAACAAATATAGATACAGTGTTCCTTTAGCTGACAAATTCAGCAAAAAAGATACACCAAGATGGATTACAGGGGTACTAAAAAGGGCCTAACCCTTATAACAATAATTAAACAAAAAGAAGGTGAGGAGTAAGGATCCCTTAAACATGGGAGACAGAACAACTCACAGCTAGTACCCCTTGTGGAGCAATAAAGAGTGCACTTAACTCCTGTGTATTAAACAGATTAAACAAAAAATAATAATAAAGTTTTAATGTAGTCCAAAAATAATAATAAAAGTCTGTAATACACTCAACTGTTACAAATGGATAAAAAAGGACCTGGAGAGTCACTCTGGGCTGCACATAACTATATACTGTGCCTGGATACTACGTTGCCACAAAAGTAGCAACAGTGTAAAAGTAGCAGAAAAAACTATTCGTAATAGGCACCAGTGCAATAATGTGCATAGATAATTGTGCTAGCAAAACAGGCGAGATCTACACTTACGGTCCTAGAAAAACACACAAACAAAATCTCCACTATTGCATATCAGGTTTGGGAATATAAAGTATAATATAGCGTCCTAATGTGAGGTATAAATATGACTATTGGCCTCAGCCAGTCTAATAACAAATGGTTAAATCGAAAGGACAGAGAGATATAGAGTTAGGAGATCGAAAAATAAAGGTGGGAAGGTAGTGAACGCGCGTTGGGCTTCTGCTACAACTGTGGGGGGCCAGATTTGGGCGATTTGCCCTATACTGAATTATACTTTCACTACCTTCCCACCTTTATTTTTCGATCTCCTAACTCTATATCTCTCTGTCCTTTCGATTTAACCATTTGTTATTAGACTGGCTGAGGCCAATAGTCATATTTATACCTCACATTAGGACGCTATATTATACTTTATATTCCCAAACCTGATATGCAATAGTGGAGATTTTGTTTGTGTGTTTTTCTAGGACCGTAAGTGTAGATCTCACCTGTTTTGCTAGCACAATTATCTATGCACATTATTGCACTGGTGCCTATTACGAATAGTTTTTCTGCTACTTTTACACTGTTGCTACTTTTGTGGCAACGTAGTATCCAGGCACAGTATATAGTTATGTGCAGCCCAGAGTGACTCTCCAGGTCCTTTTTTATCCATTTGTAACAGTTGAGTGTATTACAGACTTTTATTATTTTTTGACTACATTAAAACTTTATTATTTTTGGTTTAATCTGTTTAATACACAGGAGTTAAGTGCACTCTTTATTGCTCCACAAGGGGTACTAGCTGTGAGTTGTTCTGTCTCCCATGTTTAAGGGATCCTTACTCCTCACCTTCTTTTTGTTTGATACGAATTAAGCTTGTGTTATGGTGAGAGGTGAGGATTCACTAAACGGCGGATTGACTATTTGATGCTGAGG